GTGTGTGTGTGTCTTTGACAAAGGAAGTTCTAATAAAGTGAATTTGTCATATGATTGCTGTCAATTTTTCCCCAACTGGAAAGCAGAGCTCTGAGAGGAAACAACAGGGAACTCTGCTATCAGCAAATAAAGCTGCAATGATATCAATAGAATGGTGAATTTGACTCATAACCCAGTATATTTTTACCTGCCTTTCCATCTGGTAAGACGAATTATACCATTCTGTGAAGGGAATTATACAGAAGAGGACAGCTGGATGTTTTTAAATCTCATTCTTATGTAAATGAGACTATCAATAAGTGCTTATTATTTATGCACAGATCCTTACATTATTGAATACCTTTTTAAAGCTTGCATACTGTGAAGACTTTACCAAATAAACGGGGTATATTGTTATAAATAAAATAGTATTTCTTTCACCTCTTTGGAAGAAATAACAGTATGACTAAGAAATGAATAGTCTGAATATTTATCAGAATTAAAATGAGCAAAATATTACTTTTTCATTCCAGAATACCCTGGATCTATACATCTTATACTCTTAAATTTATCCTTCTTACAACTACACAAAATATACCATGAAATATGGTATTAAAAATAAGAATTTTTTTCCCAATATTTTATTTCCACCTAGCAGTTCTTCATTACAGAAGTCTTGAAGCCCTGTTTTTGCCCAGTTCTTACATGATTTTCTGGTAGTTCTTTTTTTACGCACCACAGGAGACATACTCAACATTTTAATATCTCCCAGTTAGGTAAAATAATTATTATTCTGATTTATTCCTGGGAACTTAGATACACTAAAACGGTATCTAACCTGCCCATCATTCAAAGATACAGTTTCAATACCAACAGGACAGGTCCAATAGCCCGAAATCTGCCACAGCAGAAAGTACTTAACAAGAGAGATTGATTTCCTTCCCCCAAAACTACAGCAATGGCTGTAACTGGGAAGTACAGTGCAATAAATGTTACAGTACATCCAGTAAAACCTGACAATTTGAAAAATTCACTATGAAACCCTATTTCCACCAAGCATTTGTAACCCTGTAACTTTTCCAGATGCTCATAATATGTCCAGATTTACATGGATTTACAGGGGATGACAAAAGCTACAGACACACCTCCAGGTGAAGGCTGTCTCTTGGAAGAGCCCAGAAATGATGAAACTTCTTAAAGAATGATTTAACTTAATTAAACTTAGTAGCTTAACTGAGTTAATTTTATAATTTTCATATTTTTCTTCCTTGCATCCACTAAAAGTTCTCTCATTTAATATCAAAATTTGAACTTTGAAACATCCCCGTAGCATATTCCTTACACTTCCATAGGCCTATTCCTGAAAAGTTATCTGTGTATATAAGCCTGCATATGGATACACTGAAACCTATGGAAAGTTTAAAACCTCTGTAGACAAAATTCTATGAGGGAATAAAATGAGAAGGTAGCAAATGAAGTATTACAGAAAAATAAATAAAATGACTTTAAAGTAAAAGTTTTCACCTCAAAATATGTTTTAAGTCAATATGATTTTCCTGTTATTATCAATGGCACATTTTATTATTAATATTAAGGGGGAAAAAAACCCAGGTATTTTTATTTGTATCTGGTTTTATTGTTTTACATCTAGTTACTTTGAAGAATCAAACCATTCTAATCAGTTCCTCCTGATTAGGAGAGTATTACAGGTTGTTACCAACTGAAACTACCTACTTAAAGGAAATAAAAATATTTCTTTTTGGAAATAATGTTATCATGTCATTAAAGAAACATTGTAAAATAGAATGCAAATGTATGCTCAAAGCTGCTTTAGAACACTGATTTTGATTTAAACTGCCACTTTGCTTTGTACTATCCAACAGCACAATTCAGAAATTAATATAACTGAGAGATGGGTATGCTAAAAAAAATTATAAATAAATAAAAAATAAGAAAAAAATAAAGACGATCCTCCTTAAAAAACCAAATAAGTAGCTGTTCTTAAGCTAGGGATGGAAAAAGAAGGGGGAAAAAAAAAAAAAAAAGTGCTCTAAAGTTTCCTTGATTTCCTAAGAACTCTGCCCCCAAGGCACGGTGTGTACTGCACATGACAAGCAGATATAAAAGCATCAGAGGGAAGGAGGAAGAGACAGAGGGAGGGAAATTTTTTTCGTACAACCCTGCAGCTATGACTTTCTAATCAATAGGATTCTTGACAGGAATATAAATCTAACTTTCACACCGAACAGTTAGAGTTTGGAATTTTCACAGAAATCCTTATTTTAGAAATCACAAGGTTATAGGTTTGCTGCTGAGATTGCACAACAGCCTATCTAACAAGTGGCAAGAAAACAATTTTTATCCAGAGCTATGGAGAACAGTATTCACACTTTGAATCAAGTTCCAGATGATTTATACAGAATTAGCCGATTTAAAACAGTCCTTATCTTCTCAATAACTACCGTGTATGTATTTTGACAATATAATAGAATAATTTCAAAACAGGTCTTGCGCGTAAGGAAAATTTACAGAGAAAATAGTTTTCTATTTTTTTTTAAACATAATACGAATCTGATCAAGTTTGCATTCTTCATACAAAGTTGCAAATTAGATGGCAGTACGGGACTGGATTCAGTGATTCAGGAGTGACCTAATTTTTATGTTCTTTTCGTCTGATGATCTAAGGGAAACAATTAAAAAACAACATTTGACTGAAACTTCCATACATGAACAGCTTGCTCTCCCAAACCAAGCATCAGAGTAAAATGACAAATCCCAAGTGTATCATCTGATGACATGTACTAAAACTCTAAATCTGTGGTTATCAGCTTTCCTCAGGATATCCAGTGATCTTAACAGTGAGTCCCTAGTACTGAAATTTTATCCTAGATAGTCTCCTAATACATTCAAAGTGTCTATAACTAGAACTGGTCTCCTTCTACATGTGCTGTCATAAACTAGATAGTCTACAGAGCCTTTTTTTTTTAATTATTGTTTTGAAGAACAGAGTTATGAAAGGACTTAAGAGCAAAAATTCAATTTTTATGCTAATACTTGTGTCTATGAACCCAACAGATGTGAAGCTCACAATCTGAAATGTGATCACAGCCAAAACCAATTTGAAAATGGCTGCTCTGCAGGGTTTACTTTATCCAAAAGAAAGCATTTGGAATACCAAATGCTTTAACAGCACAGCTTGCCCTGGGTCAGTCTTTGGTCTACGTAAGAATCTAGGAAGGGGAATGTATTACATGTCACAAAACCAGTCTGAAATTGCAACTTTAAGTTTACTCTAGAAAAGTCAAAATTCAAATCTCTGTTTCCTCCATTTTGTGAATTGCTGTCATTCTTGACAAGGACAGGAAAATCCACCACCAGAACAATCTTTTCTCTTCCAGTTCAGTAAATGAGATAAAAGAATGTTTTATGACAGACATAAGCTCAGGACAGCAGAGTGATATGGCTGAGCAGCACAACCAAACGTATGAGACAAAAGTTCCAAATAGAGCAGAGAAAACGATGATGAAATGGACACAAGACAAAGAAAAAGCAACAGCAAAACAGGTCTGTGAAATAGAGACCACAGAAAAGGTCTATAAAGAGTGCTTTAGGCTGAATGGTCGTTGGTAGAGGATTGGAGTTACGAGCAAAGAAACTGTTTCCTGTAGTTCAAGTGTTACGATGCACAGAGGACTAGATTTTCATTTTTCTTCTGTTCTTTGTAAATAGGTAGAATGGCATCAACATATGCCCATGCCACACGCTGGTAATCAAATCACACTTTAAAAATCTACAACTGATCGTTTGGACACAAAAGGAAAAAATAACTTCTCAGTGAAGACTTAGTTCAGAGTTTAAAGATATTATCACTCTTCAGCTTTCATCATGATAAAAATTCATCATTTAGTCCTAATCTTGGATTGCCATCTCATCCTGAGAGTCTACAATTGGCTAGACAAAGAGTCCCAGAGGTATGACTGAAACAGTATACCTGACAGCACCGCTCTTTCTCACGAATATACATGTTGCCTCTGCAACAGATATTTTTGTTTCTTGACTATTTATTAAGCAGAGTGCTACGGATAGAATTCAAGCCAGTTCATTAAGTGCATCAAAGATGAATCCACAAATCCAGTGAACGAATATGCCTTGTGGCAGGCAGAACATAACCTTCTGGCACCTCTCCCTGCTGGAGAGGAATAAGCTGTATTTATGCTTTTTCTCCACTTCCAACCAACATTGGTAAGACAATTTGGGGGCCAGATACCATTTAAAATACCTAAAATAGTGAAACGAATAAGGTTCCTATTGGATAATGCAGTGTACAGGATAGAATGAACTGAAAGAAACATCTTTAAATATAAGGCTATTCATAGTTAACTTTAATGGGTTATTTCTCCTACTTGACAATTTACTCCACTTCAGTCGTTCCTTGTTCTTAGTCCTCCCATTTGTTATGCTCTATCTTAAGTTGCAAGCTCTTCCTCTAAACAAACATAATAAGCTATTCCAGTACAAAAGAAGATACACTAATTGTACTTTCCGTGACAGGTCTACACATTCCTCTGTTTTATATTTAATGATATGAGAAAATGTCTAAAACACTGTGCATATGTTTCCAAAACTCTAAAAATCTAATCACTGTAGATTCTGATCAAGATATGTGACAAACATCCTGAATATAATTACTAATTTCAGAGATATTTTTTACTCTAGAATAATTTTTTAAAATCCTAAAAAAAAGGGAAGACAATTACAGGTAATGCTGCAGTTACTTCTTTTTACAGGATATATTTTAAGTCTGTAGTGTCTGCAAAATATTACTAATATTTGTGGTGTAATTCTTTAACGAAAGACTAAGTAACATTGACATTTCCTAAGAAACGTAGGGAACACTACATTCATCACTAAAACATTGTCAGGTCAATCACAAAATCCAAAACCAAAAGCAAACCAAAAAAAGGAAAAAAGTGATTATACACTAGGCACAAATTGCAACTTTGGGCTACATTTAATTGTACTCACAGTTGACACTGGTCTCCTTTGATTCCCTTGGTCGTGCAGAAACATTTTCCTGTTTGCATGTGACAAATATTTGCATGTCCACTGCACGTGCAAGCTATAAAATCAAAAAGGAAAAGTGAGATTTCTTCACCCATATTTTAGTTTACAACTAAAGGAATTTTGATGGATTTTAATACTTCATCCTAAACACATTTCCAACAAGCTATATAAAAAAAAAAATATTACTACTTCAATTATAAGCTTCTTTGAAGAACATTTCACTAGCACGTCGTTTAGTTTATGTTCTGTAGAGTTAGGAACTACACATGTGTCATTAGGGGCTCTCCTCCACACCTTAAATAATAACAGTTTGAGAACAGCCATTAAAGTCTAATAATTTTCTGTATTGTGCATTGAAATGGTAACAATACATCTTTTCTAGACAAGGTGAAGTTCTGACCAATGGCAAAAGCAATGGCAAAATTCCATTAGTTTCAAATGTCTAATTAAATATGGTATTATTGCAGATGTCTGGTAAAATGTCTAATATAATTGGAACTTTTGCTTTTGACAAAAGCAAACAAAAAGAAAGCTTTGAAACCATTTGAACAAAGGCAGAGTTAATACTACAATTATGGTCCACCACAAGAATATTCTAGAAGCAAAAAACAGGCACCTCTAAAAGCTCCTGAAACTTGAACTGGAGGAGAATCACAGAAACACCATCATCACTCCGCTCCTTTTTAAACTCAGTGCCTAAAGTAAATCTGTCCACAGTGGTCTGCTCACTGCCACTCTCGATGCCTGATTGATTCTCAGCTTAAAACAAACCTTCACGTTCCCAATTCTTGAGCTTTCTTTTTGCTTTTCCTTCCCATGTTTATACAAATTACTATCTTGTTTAGGCAGTCCTCCCTCTTTTCTAACCAAGTGTGCAAAACTTAATAACCTCTCTCTAGTCCATGTGTCAATAAGTTCCCAAATCATGCTGGAATAATTACCTGCTAATATTCACACTACATTTAAAGTCTTTCCTTAATACCAAGTAACCCTGAACCTACCTTGATGATCATATTAGGCTTTCACTGAAGTTTTAATTACTGCTAAGATAAAAGGTTTAATATGTGGGCTCCTGCTTGGGAACAGATATGATACTAAGTGGTGACCTGCACATAATAAAAGTTTATTTTCCACTTTATAACCCTAATATTGAATTTCTCTCAGAGGTATTGAGTTTTAATGTTCCTGTTCTACTGATAAGGAATAACACACAATGAATACTTCTGTGACAGCATCCAATACCATACACACTCTAACCTCTCTGCCCCAGCCTAAGACAAACAGGGAAAAAGGTAATATAATAGCCAGACTAGAACCAGAATTAAACATATTATTGACAGAATATTTTCATGTCAGGAATTCTATCGTTTGTTCAGCCTTCAGAACTTATTGAATAGCCAGCTGAAGCCGAAGGAGAGATTCTTACTGAAGAAGTACTAGAGATTCAAAACTGTCTGCAAGAAACGCATACCAGAAATTTCTATGGAGCATATAGTGATGTGTGATGTTTTTCTCTCTTTCACAATACAGCTTGTAACAACACTTCTGAAAAAAAATCTATAGTTACCACAGAATACTAGATTTTGTGATTTTTTTTATGATCTTGACACTCTACAATAAATATTCATTGAAGTGCTGCTACTATATAATCAGTTATGTTTTCCTAAATCCATTCATGTTTTCCCCTCTACATTTATGGAGTGATTTTACGCACTTTAAGCTGGAAAAGCCTCTTCTCAAAAGTTCATTTTAATTGTGTAAATCTTTGCTATGGTTTCAGTGAAAAATAAAGGAATATATTCTTAACAGCTTATTCTGCTTATGGTTAATTGCACTTAACAGTGAAGGAGCTAAAAGGTTGAATTCTAAATCATATTCCAGAAGCTGTCAATATATTGACAAATACAGAAGCTATTGCCAAACCTTAATTGATTACTCCCATAGTTATTGCTCACTTAATAGGAAGTGGATCACAAACGGGAAAGTGGAACTTCCTTTACTTGAGTAGCTTTTATTTAGTAAAAGTATTTAAACACTAAGTGCCTTTGGACACTATGCATCTTTAGCATCTTGGAAAAAGAAGGGGTAAAATGGATTATACAGTAAAAGTAACAGATGTAGCCATATGAGACTTTGTAGAAGGGCAAAACTGTTTCTTTGGCAGCTCAGACATAACTTGTATACCCAGTCCATGGAATTACTGATAAATCAAACTTTTTAGCACCATTTATCCCCAGGGACATCTAAGTCAAATCAGCACCTGTATAGTGCACTTTAGCATACTATGTGCTCACTCACACAGCAATCCACAGATGAAGTCCTCTGCAATCTCCTTCCATTTAAACTGCATCATGTTTTAGTCACTGCACTCTGTCTTTAGAGTTTCCTGGATTTATACTGGAGAATCATTAATGTAAACATCTGACAGAATTTATTTTCCTATGGACTCATGTCTAAATTGAGACCTGTGTGCATTCATAGCGTACACAAATAAAGGATACGTTCATAGTTTGGTCCCTCTCGCCAAAAACACCAACATGGCTGCTCCACCTCACTTGCATTTTCATGACACACATGAACTTTCTATAGTGCTAAGATCAGTATGGTTGGAAAATTTTTTTCAGCAGGCTCAGAACCTTGTATTCTCGTCAATGAAAAAGCTAGTTCTGACAAGCCCAGCAGCTAACTGTCTTCCATTAAAGATGAAGAGAAATTACTCTCATTGATCAAGTTCCTAGTAATTCAACTGTTCCCTGGATAATACCTTGAAAAAGGACATCAGGAGCTAATCACTTTTACATTATTTTAAAAATCTCATCTGGACAAATTTTACTTAACAGCAGTGAATGCATACTTTAATTAATCTCAGGCTTGCAAGTCTGTGATGAAAAATGGATTCCTACCAATCTGTGGACCTCTATGTGGGGAATAATTCAAAAACCAAAATATGTATAAGCCATCCCTGCTGTTACTGAAGCAAATGCGAATATATATTAACAAACAAATGCAATGGCAGAAGCAGGACAATATTATAGTATGTTCAGTGGAAAAAATTTAGATGCCATTATCTTTGTGCCTCACTGCAGGTTTTTCCATTGGCCTACTTCTGAATAATACAAAAGAAATTAAGAGCTCTGAATATCAAGCATGTTTACTTATTAATTAACTGCAACCTAAAGCTATATTTGATTTCAAAGTAACAGATTTATATTCTTCCATTATCTCAATATTTCCATACTCCTCTTTCTATATTTTCTTTAATAGTTTCAACTTGTTTTTCTCTGCTTAACCATTCTCAGTGAATGGTTGCTCTTCTGATAGTACTGTAAGTCAACAGTTAAAACTGTAGCTACAGTAGTATCTTTCACAGTCTAATGCTAGTAGAAATATGCCAAATCTTGGAATCTGTTTTAAAAGCATATTTTGTACCAATCCTTCTCAGCTGGTAGAAGTCAGCACAAGAGATGCAATTAATATTTTCCCCATTTTTTTTTTTTTGAGGTCCCACCCCTCTCCACCCTCATGCATTTGTTTTCAAGGAACAAGGATTAAGTTCCAGCAGCTGCAGCTAAAACCTGTATTAAGTAACCTTTTTTTTTTTCTTCCAAAAAAGGACAGTTATCAGCTTTAATGTTGATCTAAAGAAATGTTTAACATGACTTTTCTTTGTAAGAACTCCCTAAAGCTGAAGGAAAAGGAAATAAGAGTTAAGAGTTAAAATGAAAGCTATACTTAATACTTCACATTTCAAATGCTCCTCTCTTCTCCCCCCGCCCCCCGTGTATTTAATAAAAGGTTTAAGAGTTTGAGTAGAACTGCATGGTGGCAAGCAGAGATTTCTGACTGAAAATCCCAGGCTCAGACTACTTAATGCTAGATGGTGGGAGGATCACATTATCACTTTTGATTTTCTGGGCCTGTCTGCCCATCTTAATTAACATATCTGAGACACTGTCAAGGAAAATTTCTGAGATCCCATTTTTGTGCCTCAGCGTTCTTCTACAACATCGTATTTTCTGTGGCTGTGTATGAAGCTAGATAAGCCATCCCCACTGAGATTCTCAGCCAATAAGGACAGTTTCAGCTTCTGCCACACTCGAGCATTTTACCAAGTTTCAGCATCTTTTAACTGATTTCCTTTCTCCCATTTAGTTCCCATATCCTTCAGCGTGGATTTTTGATAGCCACTATTCTTTCACACGTCCAGTTAGGCACAGTGTGAATCTTTTGCATTGTGACATCTCGCAAGTGATGTTAGGTTGACAGAAAAACATTCTCTATCATGATTATGCTTTAAATAATGTCCAATTCTTAACATGAATTATTTTATTTGGGACACTGACAGTGGGCTTAAAATCAGAGGATGAAGCATGCCTACAGAGATTTGCTGGGTTAAGAGAAATTGAATACAAGCAGAACCAGTCTTTATTCTTTTAGATAGGGATATTGCATCCCTAACAGAAAGACAGAAACTAATAGAAAGACAACACTTACAAGCCCAGTAGGGTTTTTTTTTGGGTTTCTAAAAGTGTATTTTTTTTTTTTTATTTAAAAAACCCTTTTTTTTTTTTTAAAAAAAAAAAAAAAAAAAAAAGAAATCTAGAGTCAACTTTTGGCCCTATCCTCAAAAAAACCCACACCACCAACACAACAAAACCACCCTTACTGATGCCATTATACCTTCTGCTGAGTACCGCCACATGAACAGTAGTACAAGACTGTTAGGAAGAGACAAGATTATCTACAGGGAGCATCAGATTCAGATTCTACTGCTGTATGACACATTCCAGCACTCATAGCAGCACCATACGCAAACACTTTCAGGAGGTTACAATGACACTAATCCTCTCTCAAATCCTCCCTGACAGTCATCAACGCAGAGAATAACTTGGAATCCTACTTCAACTTTATAGCAACTACAACAACATTCTAACAGTCTTATTAAATTGTGTTCACGTTCTAAATTTCCTCCTAATTTAAGTACTCATATTCAGTATTCAAAATTCAGAAATGAATCTCTGCAAACCAACTGGTTAAAATGAAATATACAGAATT